CAGCCGCCCTGGGCAGCGCCCTCCTGCCTGTCTCTGCGCTCGCCCCTTCCCGCTGTGGGTGGGCTTGGCCAGGGGAGCATCCGCAAGCCTGCCCTGGGGGGAAGGAGCCCTTCCCGGGAGCTGGGGTAAGGGCATATGTCGCCTATTTAGTCTCGCAGGCCCGTGGTGAAGGTGTTGGTGTCACGGGACAGCAGGCTGCAGAACTTGCTGGGGGGAAGTTGCCCTGTCTGACCCAGGTTATGAATCTGCAGGCCAAGCATCTGAGACTCTGCTGTTATCTGTTGCTGTAATAAGCATCTGGCCCCTTCTGCTCTTCCAGCTGAGTTTGGTTTTGTCAGGTGCAGGTGGACTTTATTTTCTATTACTGTTGCAGTTTGGCTAGCAAGCTGGAAGCTCTATAGCAGGTGCTGATGCCAGAAATATATATGGTGGTCTGATAGCTAAGCCTTGGTTTTTGTCTGTTTTCCTCAGAACCTGATTTGGTTTATTTCCCTCAGTTGCCAAAACAGCAAAATACAAAGAGGGAAATAGCATTAAAATAATTCCAGCACTAATAGATTAACACAACTGTTGTTTAGGTAACTTGTACATCTTGCTTTATCAACATCGATTTGATTTGTAATCGTTCTATGTTTTTTGCAGCATATGGTCCTGAAATTTTGATTTTTATAGAGTTGTATCAACAGACATCCATCATGTCTTGGCTAGCTGATCTTGCTGGAAAGGCAGAGGACCTTCTGAACAGAGTTGATCAAGGAGCTGCATCGGCTCTGAGCAAAAAAGATGTAGGAAGCAGTGCAGTTTATGATAATAAGAAACTGGACTCTGCCAATGAATATTCTGAATTGTGTCAGCAAACTGGAGAACTGAAATACCAGACATCATCCAAAGCAGCCTACATCTCTTCAGCAGCTGATAATATTAAACATCAAAAGGCCACAATCCTAGCAGGAACAGCAAACGTTAAACCAGCACGCAGGACATCTTCAGAGGTTGCTTCTCCAGCAGAAAATGTTTCCACACCTAGAGCTGCCTCACATTTTGTGAGAAGAAAAAAGTCAGAACCTGATGATGAGTTGCTGTTTGATTTTCTCAACAGTTCGGAGAAGGAACCTAATGGAAGGATTGACTCTAAAAAAGAGAAGAGCAAGACATCCCTTCTGCAAAATAATTTGCGAACTTCAAGCATTAGTTCTGTGTCTACCAATACACAGAGTGCAAAAAGTGCTGAAGATAATTCCAGCAGGAACCAAGGCAATGGTAGTTAAATAGTATTGAACCTAGAGATATTGAAACCCCAAGTATATGTAGGATAAGGCTAGCTAATGGATTTACTGGCACTTCATGAACCATTAGTGGTAGCAGTATGACAAACATGGAGTAAAGTGGAGTGTTTAACACTTTTATCATTGGGATAATCATAGATACCATGCTAGCTTCACAAGCTGCATAATTAATACCTAAATCTTTTGTGGTGTTGATCTTGCTGCTGCTCACCTTGACCCTGCTGAGCTATGGCTCAGCCTTACCACAGCCCCTGCCCATCCCTGCTCGGAAGCACAGGTGCTGCTGTGTTTGCTTGACCACTCAGGGATTGAGTCATTTAGAGTGAGTGACTTTCACCAGCTGATAGGTGGTGTTGGCTGCTGCCCAATGCACCTTGTGAGGTTATGTGAGGTTTTCTTTTTTCCACTGTGGAAGAGGGGTAAGCTGTCAAGCTTGCTTGACCTGCAGAGTGGGAAGTGGGGTGTGGGCAGGCTGTTGCAGAGCTACAGGCGTGAGAGAACTAGACAGATGAAGTTTGCCAGAAGTAGTTCATTAATGTAGTCTCGATCCAGACACCTGAAAGAGCCTCTGGGCCAGATGATCAAAAGTTGGTGCTGCTCTCAAGTCAATGCAAATAAGAATGTGGCTGGGAAGTGTCAGGAAATTCTGTTGTCTTATCAGACTGTCTATACTCAGCCTTCCTCGCTGTTGCTGTGCTACTTTTATTATATAAAATTGAAGTAAATAGTTTTATTACTTCTTTATAATCTAATTAGAATACCTTATTTGTTCAGTACTTTGAGCATGCAAAGCATTGTAAATGTCAGTTTTTTACTCACTGCATAAGTATGCTGAAAAGTTTTTGATGTAAAAGGAGGTAATTTACAAAAATGAATATTTTTGTATTTCTGGATCTGTAACTTCTCAGTAAGATTTACTACTACTAATAATACTTCAACTATGTTAGACCTGGCTACCTGGCCTTGCTGATTGGTGCTTAAGGAACATAACTTGTTTTGCTCAGTGTGGGCTGGTAGATTTTCTTCTGAGGAGTTTGTATTGTGGAGCTGCCAAATGAGGAAGCACACAGTTACAACACAGAGTTTGAGTATGTTTTGAACATTTCAAAATTGATTGCATGGATATATCTGTGTCATTTAAATCTTCTGTGTAGCATCTGCTGATGCGGCTTATGATACTTTAGCTATAGACAAAACCAGCTCATGTTATGCTTTGTACATCGCCATGGATATAATCTAATGCATGCTATAAATGGCTAATTTCTTGCTTTGTTAGCTTCATTAATCTGTTGAGGCTCCCAAAGGAATGAGGATAAACTGTCTGAACTATGTAAATGAATCAAAAGGATGGAAACAACACTTTTTAGAACCATTTAAATAGGAAAAGGGTTTGAGAAAATGTGGGAGAAATGTTGCTGTTGCTACTTGTCAGTGTGTTCTCCACAATTAGTAGTGTGCCCCAGCTCCCTGGGCGCTGGGTGGCAGGAGCTGTTGCAATGGTAACAAGAAAGGTGGAGCAGGTTGCTTGGTGATCTCCAGGGTGAAGTAAACAAAATTGTGACAGCTAAGCTGCAGTCTTGCTTGGAATTAGTTCCAGTCTGTCCCTGTGGATTTTCGGCAGTTGTTCATCTGGGACATACTAAAATCAGAAGTAGTGTTTTTGGGTCACCTGCTTGTTTGCTCATTGCATGCTGTGTCGTTTTATCTTAACACTGCTGCAAAGCTTCCCACTATCTGTGTGCCAGAATCAAGGTTGTTACAGTGGAGGTATTGATTTCACAGCGGTAATCCAGGAGGCTGTGTGTGTTTGTGCCTGATGAGGAAAGGCTGTTGGTTCCCCCTTCCCTGCAAGGGACTGTTGTTCTGAGTACTACCAGGAGTTCCCTTACTGTTCTCACTGAAGTTCTAGGATTTAAAAAAAAAAAAAATTTTTTTAAAAAAATCTGTATTTTGGTTTTCATAATCTAGAGAATTAAAATTTGTATTGGCAGAAAGCTTTTAACAGTGTCGAGAGTATATCTGCCTTGTATTTTCTCATTAGAGAAAGGAGAGGTCATGCTTCTGCTTCACACCACCGCAACTTGATTTCTCATAGTAAAAGTGCTTTTGAAAATATATTTTGAGATAATTATTAATATAGAACTATCAGTAGGGTGATGTTTGACAAATTATTCTTAAAATGCTTTTTTACATAAAGATAATAGAAATATGTAGCTGTGTAGCTGAATTGCATATTTAGGTTTGATATCAAAATGACCAAGTATAGTCATCTAAACAGTTTTGTTTTTTTTTTTTTAAATAAAGTTTATATCCTCTTAACAGAAAACTGGAATGAACTTGTACTAAAAATTCTGCTAGTTAGTTGCTGTGTGTCTTTAATCTCTTCTGTTACTCTCAGCTTCCAAAGACATCTATGGGTAGCATAGTCATAAAAATTATTAATATTTTGAAATCCAAGATTTGAAATTGTGTATTAAATTTTTTTTATAGTTTTGCAGGATTAAGAAAAATGCTGCGTGGTGCATTTGTAGTGTACAGTAGTCCTATTTTGTACAAGTCAAAGTATGGAGACGCAGCTGCATGTTCCATTTCAGTCTAAGCAGGTTTGATTTTTAAAAGTTATTATTGTGCATTTAACCATGAATGCAGAACATGGAATTATGTCAAGGCAACTTACAAATACATGCACTGGTTCTAACTTGCATCTCTCTGTCCAGAAACTCCAGACAGTTCAGATTCTGGGCTGGGGCCGCAGGGGGACAGTGTGAAGGATTCAGCATCGCTGAGTGCAGTAGCTAATCCTGGCCCTTCGGGCAGTGACGACTTCACACCACACGAACTGTCCAACCTCCGCCTGGAGAATCAGCTGCTGCGGAACGAAGTTCAGTCTTTAAATCAAGAAATGGCTTCATTAATTCAGAGGTCTAAAGAAACACAAGAAGGTACTGTGGTTTAGAAACTCAGCTGTAGCATATTACTAAAATGCTAGTGAACTATAAAATGGTGTTATTTCTATGTTAGTGTTTTGTATTTATAATAAAATCTTTCTAGGTAAAATTTTACATATGACGTACCAAGCAAAATGACTCTTGCTTTCAGAATAATAAGATGGGAGAAACTAGAAGGCTTGTTCAGGTATAAATGTAACACAAATGTTGATTAAACTGATGTGATCAAGTTACTTCCAAAACATACCTTGTTAAAACAGTTTTAGCAAATGTTACCAGTATTAAAATACTTCTCCTGCGTTTTATCAGCTATCGTGAGATATTTATTTTTACATGAGTAAAGTCCTTTAAATACTTCAAAATCTGTCTGTAGATTATAAAGCCTGAAGCCTAGAAATTTACAGTAAAAATACAAAATTTAGTTTTTTTTGAATTACTTCACTAGCTTTTTCAAAGCTAAATTAAATTACAAATATAAAACATAAATATGAATTAAATGCTTCAGTGCTAAAACCTTGAGCAAACTCCTGCTGTTATGCATACAACTGAGAGACTGCATTTTTTTTCTAAGTAACCATGTGAGCCAGAGAACTTGTGCTTCTGTTGCAGTTTAATATGTGATGTTTTGTTAAAACCAGAAGCCTCTGTAAGTGTTGAGGCATTATTTCAACACTGGTGTATTACTGCTGTTGTTCAGGTTGAACTTGTTGTCACATTGAGTTGAACTAGATGGTGTATGCAGAGGTTTCCAAAGGCTTGCTCACACAGGGGTATTCCACACTAGGCCATTGTGAGGGGTGGGACAGGTGAAATCTGTCATCTGCACTGTGACACACAAAAAGTTTTGCAAAATTTTATGGGTCGTGCTGTGACAGCCAGTTTGGCATTTGTTAGTTCTTGGTAGCTCATAAAGTTTCATTATTAATTCAACTTGGTTGTATTTAATTTTTTTCTTTGAGAAATGTGATGTGTATATCCTGACCATTTACAAGACTTTGCAATACATACTTTTATAAACTTAAAAACAACTTCTTATTTTGTAGAATTGAACAGATCCCGGGAGAGGGTTGAGAAGTGGAATGTTGACCATTCAAAGAGTGACAGGATGGTTAGAGAACTTCGAGCTCAAGTTGATGATCTGACAGAAGCAGTTGGTGCCAAGGATTCACAGCTAGCTGTGCTCAAAGTGCGGCTGCAAGAAGCTGATCAGCTCTTAAGTGCTCGGACAGAAGCTTTGGAAGCATTGCAAAGTGAAAAATCACGGTACTTCATAATTTCATACTTCACAATCATGCAAATAAGTAATAAGCTTGAAAATTCAAGGTAGATAATTTAGTCTCTCTAAGAATAGAAGTGAATAAACTAATGGGGAGAGGAATTGTATCAGCATTTGAAATATGAGGTTTAAAATTTGCTCTGTGCCAGCTATATTGTAGCTGGCAGTGGGAACAGGGCAAATGAGTATTAAATAGGTGCAGTTGTCACCTGGTTATTGAATCCATTTTGTATAAAGTATTTATGTTTGTGTCAGAGACAGGAAGCTGAAGATTTCAATAAAAATATTTTTGTCATGAAAAATACATTTGCTTATGCACAAACGTGAAGACCTTTCTGACTTACCTCAGTGCTGGGTATATGACACATCAGTTGAATACTCCAGAATATAAGTCAGGGAGGAGGTGAGACATGAACTCCAGGTCTCAAACCTGTAGTCAGCCATAGTAATTCACTGGGTAAATTTCTGAAGATGGCCTGAAAACCGGGGAGTCATATTTCTACCTGAAAATCACACTAGGTTTCTTCTTTTTCAATTCATATGTGTATTGCTCTTCCAGGATAATACAAGACCACAGTGAAGGGAGCAGTTTGCAAAATCAAGCCCTTCAGAGTCTTCAAGAGAGGCTGCGTGATGCAGACTCCACGCTCAAGCGAGAGCAAGAAAGTTACAAACAAATGCAGGTTAGACATGAAGAGTAAGGAAGAGTTTCAGACTCTACTTTTGAGATCACATCTGTGAGGTCTGAACTGTTTTCCCTTCCCCTTGGCTTCCATTCCTGTTCAGGGTACTAAGTGCTTGGGAAGGTGTGCTGTCAGCTGCGTTAAGTACCCTTGTGCTGCTGGTTTATTTTTTTGAGTTATTTTGAAAGCTTCTTGATTAAAAGTTTTTGAGGATCAATGCTGATAATGTTATTGGTTTTGTTATGCTAACTTTAATGGTAAAACTAAATCAATTACAATTTAATTTCTCATGCTATATTGTTACACAACAATTCATTGCACAATTTTACTCGTAATCTTAAGAACATTAAGCTGGATGATCACTTCTATGGTGAAGATGTGAGTACATCAGTGCTGGAGAATACTTTCCACACTGCCCTTCGTTATGTGCAATAACCTCTTAAAAAACCTTTATCAGTGTCTGGTGGTTTTTTTTCGGTGTTTTTGTTTTTTAAGTACATCAAAATATGGCAAACTACATCTGAGAACTTTTTTTTAGGGGAGAGCTTGCTTTTTGTTTACCAAATAAACATAAATAATAGGAAGACTGCAATTCCATCAATATTTCTGATGAGAGAAAGTAATGCATATTTTTACTGATAGCATTTAGCACTTGCTTATGCAAGCAGGATTTCTTTCCGCATAGCACTAATGCAAGTTGGAGGTGGTAGATAGGTGTTGTGCAGTTGCTTTTAAACTTTTTTGCCTTTCTAGGTTAAAGTTGAGACTGTTTAAACACAGTGTTGTTTCTTTTTTGCTGACAGAATGAGTTTGCGGCCCGTCTAAGTAAAATGGAGGCTGAACGTCAGAACTTGGCAGAAGGAATAACTGTAGCAGAAAGAAAGTATTTAGATGAAAAGAGGCGTGCTGACGAACTCCAACAGCAAGTCAAAGTAACTAAAAACCACCTAGAATCTGCTAAACAGGAACTGACAGACTATAAGCAGAAGGCTACACGCATACTCCAAGTAAGCATTTCTGTGAAGAAATCCAAGTATTATGCTTCAGATAATCTAATTTGTGGAGTTTTTAATGTGATCTGTAATATATTTTTGGGGCATATCTATAATGATGCCTGTACAGAATGGCTGCTAGTTTGCATTTTGTAAACTTAAGTAAATGGAATGAAATTTCAGTTCCTGAACTTACAGAGATCTGAGGGAACCAGTGCAGTTATTGTGCAACATCTGTCAGTGTGTTCCACATTAAGAGCCCAATTCTGAGCAAGTAGGTAACTAGATGTAACGTACAATTTGTTCCACACCCAGTATTCTTGAGTCGAGAGTATTGCTCTGTTCTGCTTCAGGCTGAAGTATAGCATATAATGGATGGTTATGTGTAAACCAAATAAAATATTTTTATATATTCTGAAAGGTTGCATGTGATCAGCGTTATATAAACAATGGCAAAAATAGGTATTTTGTGCAGAGTTCTATGATACATAAGTTGTCAAAGATACCAGATCCAAACACGGTCAGTTTTAATCTTGTTTATTAAAGTTAGCAAAATGTTGAAGGTGTCTGTTTAGAATTATTAATTTGATCTGATATCCAAGATCAGGTTTTAAATCACCTTGATAAATATGAGAAGCATGAAATCAGAAGTCAGTGGTAAGCAATGTTGAGCAATATTGAGATTGACTCTGACTCTGAATAAGAAAATGGTTCATCCTCTTTCCCAGAAAAGTTATTACTGTATTTGTCTTTTATTTGGCTTTGTTGGCAGGAGAAGGGGTGGACTGAAAGGACGTCAGCTTTGTCTTTAATCTCAGTTTAGTGTCCATTTTCTCTCTTAGGGTAGCTGGAAAGCCAAAGTTGTAATCCATGACATGTTTAATACTGCATGCCCTTCTAAAGAGAAAAGCTGTGCTCCTCCTCGGATAACACAGGTGTTCAGTAAATCTAGTCTCATGGCATACAGAAAGTTAGAATTATCAGTAGGGAAACATTTTCATTTCAAATGAAATGGAATGTGCAGCGTCATTATTAACTTGGCAAAAGAACAGATAAAGCAGTTCTTTTACTCTGTCTACATTTGAATTTTAGAGCAAAGTCACTTTGGCATATTCTAATTGAGCACTTGTTAAATACTGCAATAAGTAATATATTTATTATTTCAGTCTAAAGAAAAGTTGATCAACAGCTTAAAAGAAGGCTCTGGTATTGAAGGCCTGGATAGCAATACTGCAAGCACAATGGAACTAGAGGAGCTGAGACATGAGCGGGACACTCAGAGAGAAGAAATACAAAAACTCATGGGGCAAATACAGCAGATGAGAACAGAGCTGCAGGTATCTATCGTTATGTACACGTGTATTGCAGTTAACCCTGCAAGGGGGACTGTTTTCTTGTATACTTTAGGGCTGTTGCTTCTAGTGATTATTTGGCCTAGTATTAAAATAAGCCAACTTTTGCTTAAGGTGAGACCAGTATTTATTGATACCTAAATTCTTTGTGTTCTCTCTCGCCACTTCAGGTTATGTGCAAAGAATACTATAGATACCACTTCTCTTCCCTCGCTACTGCGTGTTTCTTTTGAGGGAAGCATTTATTGCCAAACAAGCGTGGGTGATTTCTGTGGCAATCATCTATATCCTTTTCTGCAAGGGCTACTAATCCTTGAAGCAACTGTAATCCAAGTTGTCTGCTGGCATAATTGGCTCAACCTAGGAGTTGCACGCAAGCCTACTACACACAGTTTTAGCCTGTAGGCAGTGGAAGGGAAAAAGTGAAGGCTTTTCACATTCACAAAATGCATTTATTATACAGAATGTTTCCACTACTATAATAATATAAAATGACCAAATGTATTTATTCGATAGACCATCACTTTAATTGTCCTTTGAAGCTATATTGCAAGTAGAGGTATTTTTTTGCTGTTACCTGTGGCAGATTGCAGTATTGTTTGAATGTTAGTGAAAAGGTAACATTTCTGTTCATTTCAGGATATGGAGACTCAGCAGGTCAGTGAAGCTGAGTCAGTGAGAGAGCAACTTCAAGACCTACAAGAGCAAATAGCAGCACATAAAGTAGCCAAGCAAGAGGCAGAAGCTGAACTGGAACGGCAGAAACAAGTGAGGAATTCATGAAAGGTGTTTGGTCTTATTTTAGGCCTCGTGTGGTGTCATCAGTAAAGCATTTAGCTTAAGAGAGGAGCTTGTAAAGAATTTGGGTTATTTTTTGTCTAGTATTCAAGAGAAATCCCCAAAAGCTTAATGAGTATCACTAGGCCAAAGTACAACCAGTACCTTAAGCAGTGGATAGGGCATTCTGGACACTCCTCATAAACAGAGATCTCTCTGATCTCTTAAAGAATGAATGTGGCTCTAGGGAGTGCACAAAATCGATCATGATCTTAAGGGGGACAATCAAACAATAGGGATATGGTAATAGTTGTAACCATACTTATATCAAGAAACTCAAATAATAAACATGATTACTGTGGAATTGCCTGAGCTCAATTACTAGATGAGCTTTAGCTCTTAAAACAATGTTACTGTAGTACCAATTCATAGATAAGGGTTTTTTTAATCTACTTGTTACTCAGTTCTGAATCTAAACATTGTTACTTCCAAACTGCTCTGTAAGAGAAATTGATGATAATATTATATTAGTGAATTTTGTCAGATTGTGTCATCTTTTTAAATAAATTCCCCCTTGATTTAAGCAGTATTGTGCTGAAAAAGGGGGGTGGAGAAGGCAAACTCATTTGTCATGTGAACAAGCTTACTATTCAGTAGAAAGCACCAAATGCTTTGTAGCCTATTAAAAAAAAATCTCTGTAAGAAAAAGCTCATGTAAAGAGAATTAATGAGAAAAGCAGGAGAATTTGCTGTATCTGCTAGGAACAATTTATCTTAGGGGATTATCTGTCCTTCCAAAAATTACATTTTAATGAGATGCTAGCAACTTGAACTAATTAAAAGGCAGAAGTCAAGGTCTGTTCTTGATTGTTAACTGATGTTTATTATATTAAAGCAGATAATAGATAGTATTTTGTTACTCCTTCCCTTCTGAGCTGTATATTTTATGTCAATACCATATAGAGAAAATCAGGTTTAATTTAAGAAAAAGGCATTATTAGTTATTACAGAAACTGAAGTATTTTTTTTTAATGACTAGTATTTACATGTGCTTTTAAAGTTCTATCTGGAAATTTTTTCAACTATTTCCATAAGATTTTAGAGGCTGAAGATGGAAAAGAAGTAGAGTTGTTATTTCTTGTACATGGATCACTTGAAGGGAGAACAGAGTTATATTTTCCCCATCCTAGCCAGACACTTAACTAAGATTAAATTTCAGTTGATATTGATTGCAGCATATTGCCTTTTTGTGTTAGTCTGTGAAACTCTAGAGAAGAGAATGTCTGTCAAAATGTATACATGTATAAAATCTTTTATTTGTGATACATTTTATAGGAACTCCATTATACTGAAGAAGAATTGTATCGAACAAAGAATACTTTACAAAGCAGAATAAAAGATAGAGAGGAAGAAATACAGAAGCTCAGAAATCAGGTACTGTGTTTACAGAGAATGACCTTATCATCACCAGTAAATTTGTGGACCTATTTTCCTCGAATGAATCTGATTCCTTTTGGAATGTTGTGATACTTGTTGGCACCCACAGTGTCCTTGGCCAGTCAGCTGTGGTCAGATGTACAGTTACAGTGGAGAGTGGTGTGTTGTGATACAAATTTCTTGAGCCTGTTGGCAGATGATTCTTTTGGTGATACTGGCCTTGGGACTACCTGCCCTTCTGCATTGAATCTAATTTGTATTTTTGGTATCTCACTGTCTCTGGTTCCTGCTG